GTAGTTTCATTTTGAGGCTATATAAAGCCATGTATGTTGTATGTGTAAGAGACTTGAAAAATGTAGTAAAAGAAGCATTTGTGCTCTTCTTTAGCCAATGGCTAAGTTTCTTTGCAATTCTATGTAGTTTAGGTTGCATGTAGAATCATTCAAGCTCGACGTGATCAATCTTGCTTGTGGAGTGATTCGAATCTCAAGCAAGTGTTCTTGCCTTGAGATATTTGATCAACAAGAATCATTCAAGCTAGACATGATCGATCTTGCTTGTGGAGTGATTCGAATCTCAAACAATGTTCTTGTCTTGAGATATTCGATCAACAAGGTAATTCGAACCTTACTCCCCTTGTAGTGGTTCATTATCTTATCAATTACGTATCTACAATAGTAGTCATTAGTGAAACAAAAAGACTTGTACAAACCTTCAAAGTCACTCCATTCCCAACGGTCCAAAGATTCAAATCTGAGGAATATTCTTCACCCTTCATGAACATCACAGCAAATATGATTAAAACATTTATAACTCCCACGTAAATAAGGAGTTGCCCGGCAGCTACAAACTGGGCGTTTGCTAAAATATGGAATAGAATAAGGATAAGGATATAGAAAGAAGAACCAGTCCCAACGATAAAGCAAGTCCTCAAAACTCGATTGGACTAAGAGAAATCCATAAAGAAGTTCAGTTCCTCGATGGTCATACAAATTAATCGACGAGTTAGAACGCCGGGAGAAAGAAGAAGAAGAAGAAAAAGAAGACGAAGAAGACAAAGACGAAGAAGACAAAAAAAAGACGGCGCAAGATCATCAAATTCGTTCAAGAAAAGCCAAACGTGTCGTAATTTTGACCGACAATCTAAACTTTGAAGAGAAAGATATTGATATCACAAATACTTCTGATTCTGACGAATCATTAGACGAAATTGTTTTGCTACGGTATTCCCAACTATCGGATTTTCGTCGAGACGTAATTAAAGGCTCTATGCGTTGTCAAAGACGTAAAACAGATATTTGTAAACAGCTTCAAGCAAATGTACGTTCTTATCTTTTTTTTGACAGACAAGCCCATTTTGTCTTCTTTTGATATTCCCGGAATAAGAAAAATGCTTTTTAGACCTTGGATATGGAAAAACACAGAATTGACTATTTCGGATAATACACAGGAAAAGACAGAGATGAAACAAAAGCAGTGATGATAAGAAGAGCCAAGGAGGAAGAGAAACAAACATGTCTAGAAAGAGCAGAAACGTGGGATAAGGCACTACTTGGTCAAGTAATAAGAGGTTGTTTGTTAGTAACTCACTCATTTATTAGAAAATCTATTGTGATACCCTCATTGATAATAGCTCAAAATCAGATCCGTATACTATGTATTTGAAGGTACTGACTCGTACAAGGATTGGCAAAATTGCAAGCAAGAAGGAAATGCATATAAATGTCCCTATAATGGTGTTCAATTATCAGAAAGAAAATTTCCACAAAATGGGTTAACAGAGGCAAATAAAGATCTTATTTTCTTTTCGTGTGAAAGCGCGCGACATATTTAGGTTACCTAAATATGTCACTGAACATCTCTTTTTCTTCAAAATGCAATACAGGATTATTTTGTTAAAGTTGTTGGAGCACACGATTCCATCCTGACTTCAATCTTCAAACACTATTCCGCAATAATGAATGGAAAAACGGGTTAAGGGGTCATTCTCACTATGATTTATATCCAATTAGATGGGCTAAATTATTCCCATAAGAATTACTATATCCTCCATTGAAAGAGGAGAAAGAAATCTGGAGATGCTGATAGTTCCCAAGGAGTTCCAGTTTCAGAAAGAATTCTTAAAAGGGGGAATATTGATTATCGAGCCTGCTCGTCTGTCTGTCTGTAGAAAATGATGGACAATCTCTTATGTTTCAAACCATAGGTATTTCATTAGTTCATAAGAATAAGTACCAAATCAAAGATATCAAGAAAAAGGCTATCCTTATAAGAAGAGTTTTGCTGAATCCATTGCAATACATCAAAAAACGAATGAAAATAGATAGAACCAGCAATCAATCATTATGATTTGCTTGTTCCGGAAAATCTCTTATCCCCTAGAGGTCGTAGAGAGTTCATCATTCGTCTTTGTTTCAATTTTGGGAATAGGATATCCATAGAAATACAGGATTTGACAATGCAAATCAGGTCAAAACTCATGATCAAGCATCTTGATAGATAGAAAAATAAACTAAAGAAATTCAAGTTCTTTCTGTGGCCCAGTTATCGATTAGAAGATTTAGCTTGTATGAATCGTTATTGGTTTGATACCCATAATAGCAGTCGTTTTAGTAAGGATCCATATTATATCCACAATGGAAAATTCGTTAATGCTACATTTTGCCTATATTGTATTGACCGTACCTTATATGTGGAGGATCCGTTGAATTTCAAGTAGTCAGTTTCACCAATAAGATACGAAGACTTACTTCCCATTTGGAATTGCACAAAAAATCCTATTTATCTCAATTAAAGAGGTCTACGTCAAATTCTCGGAAAACGCCAACGATTACTTTCTCTCTTCTTATTTATCAAAGATAAAGAAAATGCGTTATGCAGAAGTAATTAATCAATTGGATATTCGGGAGGGGAGTCAAAAACTCAGTAATTTGAAAAGTCATTTTGCATTATTTGATTTATTAGATCTTGACCTTTTATGAACTTATTTGCATTTTCAGCAATTCATGGAAAGCAGAATCGAGGAAAAACTGATGAATGGACCAGCTACAAGAAAAGACCTCATGATAGTCCATATGGGACCTTACCACCCATCAATGCACGGTGTTCTTCGACTCATCCTTACTTTGGATGGTTAAGATGTTATTGACTGTGATCCAATATTGGGTTATTTACACAGAGGGATGGAACAAACTGAAGAAAACCGAAAAATTATACATACAATATCTACCTTATGTAACACCTTGGGATTATTTAGCTACTATCTTTACAGAAGCAATAACTGTAAATGGTCCCGAACTCTTGGGAAATATTCAAGTACCTAAAAGAAAGAGCCAGTCAGAGTAATTATGTTGGAACTGAGTCGTATAGCTTCTCATCTCTTATGGCTTGGCCTTTTTATGGTGGATATTGGGGCACAGACTACCTTCTTCTATATTTGCAGAGAAAGAAAGAGATATAGTATATATATGATCTATTCGAAGCAGCCACCGGTATGAGAAGAGAATGATGCATAATGATTTTCGTATCGGGGGAGTCGCGGCTGATCTACCTCATGGATGGATAGATAAATGTTTGGATTTCTTCGAAATGGTTAACCACTTTTTTAACCGTAAGAGGGAGTTCATTCAGAACCCGCTGGCTCCAGAACCGGTGGAAGTTCCCCACGCCGACCCCAAACGTGAAGCACTTCTAAGTTTCATTCACACTTTGATTCTTTAGCAAGTTCGGGAACATTGTGAGAAGGGGGAAGGGCGGCTGTCCGTTCACTTTCCGGAAATGTCAGAAAGAGATTCCAGTGTCGCAGAGAACATTATGTCTCGCGATCTGAAAATATCTGCAGAGATGGATACTGAACCCCTCTGCGGATGGGTGGAGGAGAGAAAGGATCACCCTAATCTCCTAAAATCCCTCATTAGGGAGTCTGCTACTTTCTTTCATAACAGAGCCGAGAATAACGGCTGGCATAGTTGTCTCTCGCATGCAAGGAGATGCTGCTGCTGGATGTCACGGTTCTAGTGCGCCATGATCCTTTTCTCTGGAACAATCGAGGGCACTGCCTTCCTTCTGCTTTCAGAGGTAGGGACTGAATCAATCATCGCTCAGTGAGCTATTTATTGCTCCAATAGCGCTTCGCTTGCACGCCAGCGCCACGCCTGGTAGAGCTATCGCGCGCGGGCGAAAGAGATGCATTTTTTGTACTGGTAGTACTGTACAAGCTCAGAGGGAATAATATCTTTCTTCTTTCTGCCTTTCTTTCCCATGACGACTAGGAACAGGCAAAGAACAAATTTCACTTCGAATTCCGGACCTAACATCCTGCTGCTCATGGTGTTTCACGATCAATATTGGAAATGAACGGAGAAGTGGTGGAACGTGCAGAACCACATATTGGATTACTCCAGTGCGGCACGAAGCCGCTGACGTCGAGTCGGCTCCTATGCCGCTAGCTATGCCCTGCTTGGTCTCCCGACACGGTGGAGGTTTCGTAGCGTGTCATGAGCACCGGGCTAAGGGGCAGTTGAGCTACTCAAGCGAACCACCCTCCCTTACTACAACATAGGGACAGAAGGGAGAAGGTTGTGAAGGTGGCCTCGTTATCCACACCTCTGGTCGGATGAATGGAGGACCGACTCGGGTTTTCATGAGCGTTGGTAGGTCCTGGAGTGCCTGTCAAGGGCTCCCGCGCATACCCCGGGGTGATCATCACCACCTGCACTTCACATCTCGGCACAGTGGATCGTGTAGCCCGCCTGCTGTCTCATTCAACTACATTTGTTCCTATAATCCATACCCTAACAGAACGCAGCAGCGAGGGGCAACCTGCCCATACAGCCAGCGGGGAGGATGGCACTACTGGCAAAGACCGTCTGGCGAAAACGCCGCAGGAGCGAAGCGTGGTAGGCCTGCGCCGGGGGAGCATAGCATAGGCGGGAAAGGTAGCCCGGACGGCGGAAGAGCCAGGGGAGGCCGGGTCATTTGACGGAAATAGAAGGCTTTTCCCCTATTATCAAAGGACCTATGAAGTAAAGGGAAGTGCATCAATTCTTGGAAAAAGAGGGAGCGAGCCTAAAATCTAAGAAAGTCAATTCAATGAATAGATCTCGAGTCAACGGTACGAGAGACAGCGCTGCCTACACGCGAATTACCTTCCGAGGTCAAGCAGTCTCAATTTCACTACAGGATTGATTTGCGAATGAATGCTGGGTTGGGCCACCTCGAATGGCATGAGCCGCATGCGGGGAGACCCGCACGTACGGTTTTTAGGGGGATCCGGTCGAAAGACCGGCCGGCGCCCACCCGACTAGAGGGACTGAGAAATTAATAGAGTACAAAGCTTATCTTCAAGCTTTGCCTTATTCTGATCGTTCAGAGGGCGATCGCGGAGTCACTGAATGAAGTCCTCCGTTTCTTTCGGAGGTGCTGACCCGCAGCGAGGCAGAGATGACTAAGTTACATATGGAATATGGTGACGACAACAGCATGTCCTAGAAGGAGATAACAGGTGGAGCCAACGACCCACTAAGACTCCCGTATCTACAACTACATCCCCGAGCGGCAGTCAAACAGAGGCGTGAATGCAAGATGCCAGTGGAATGATCGGCCGGACAGAGGCTAGGGCTACTTTCTTCCCACCGCGTCCTTCCTTCCTTGTGTGTCGGAGATATAAAGCGAGTGCACCGAAAAAGAACAGGAACTGGGTTGATCTATTCTATGGCGAAGCATCCGAAGCATAACTGCACACTCACACGATCTTTTACGAGAGATAGGAGCATTCGGTGGAACCGGTGAACTACACTTGCTTCTGGATAGATGTGTGGGACAGAGGGTTCGTGGTACCAGCTGCCCTTCCTCCTCTGCTTTGAGAACCGTGTGAACAGAGAGTGTGCAGAAGGGAAAGAGGTCCTCATACGGAGTCGCACACTGACTTTCGCTGTGCGGGAGACTGGAGAATGGGTCAAGTAAACTCCCCCGGGGCCGGCCGGCAAAATCAGAGACGAAGCTTTATGGTATTTCTCTTTTTTTTATTGGAAAAGGAGCTGGGTATGTTCTCGAAAGGGAAGGCAGAGGTAGTACTTCGAATGGCGAAGAGAGGCGGCTCGGCAAAGAAGGAATGGTAAATCGTCAAAGATGACTTCTTTGTTGGTGAAACGAAGGGCTAAATAGCTCCAGTGATTCTCTGAGCCGGTCTGGATTTACAATGCCTCGGGAAAGAGGTCGATCTCGATGACAACACCTTTTTCTTCTCTTCCTTACCGGGGAATCTTCTCTTATAGCCTTCACCTCCCGCCCGGCCCGGAAATCGAACCCAGCCTCCTTCTAATCCATTCATTTCTGCAAGCAGGTTTGAATAAGCTAAAACCTTCTATTGCATAAGCTAAAAAAGCGATAAGCAAAGTACCAAAGTGGTTGCGGGAATGATAGGCTTTGGAAACTGGGGATTCGTAAGAACGGCGAAGGAATCGCTTTCAATACGTTTTGTTACGTTATGCTTCCATTTCTTTTTCCAATATCATTGAATAGCATGGCCTCTAAGGTAACTTAAGTGGGAGAGCCGTGTTATGGGTGACCTTATTGCACGGTTCAGAGAGCACTTGTGTATGTGATGCAAGTGAACGTGTACGAAAAAGCTGTCGTAAAGTTTCGTTGTTCGTTCCGTCGTCGACCCTATCTATGTTTCTACGATGGCCCAAGAACACGCTCATTCTTTAGCTGTAGAGAGACTTTTGAATTGCGAGGTACTATTACGAGCTCAATATATACGAGTGTTATTCCGTGAAATAACTCGAATTTCAAATCATTCACTTGCTTTAACTACTCATGCTATGGATGTGGGAGCATCAACTCTGTTCCTGTGGGCTTTTGAGGAGCGGGAGAAATTATTGGAATTCTATGAAAGAGTCTCGGGAGCCAGGATGCATGCCAGTTTCATACGACCAGGTGGAGTGGCACAAGATCTGCCTCTTGGCTTATGTCGAGATATTGATTCCTTCACACAACAATTTGCTTCTCGTATCGACGAATTAGAAGAGATGTCAACCAGCAACCGTATCTGGAAACAACGATTAGTGGATATTGGTACTGTCACTGCACAGCAAGCAAAGGATTGGGGATTCAGTGGTGTAATGTTAAGAGGTCGTGCGACATGAAGACATTGATAGCAATATGGGGGAAGTTCCCATTAGGCAACAACGGTTCTGCCTGACCCTACTTAAGCATGCATATTATGTCAGTGAGACTTGGTGTGAAGCCTTGGAGCTTACGTTAGAAGAGCAAAAGGCCCGGGGATAGGGTAAGCTGAGGGGGGACAGCGTAAGTGAGCGAATGTGTGTAAGCCCAGTCAAAGATGACTGTTCTAGGCGGGGCGGGCCACCTACCTTCGAATGGTCTTGGTCCTACGGACCGTGAACGGATTCACCTCTGGCCTCTGGGTACGTCGGAACCGCATAAGTTCACCGGGGTGAAGCACGGTCCGCCAAAATCGGCATAGGTTAGGTGCTATTGATGGAACATGGTAAGCCTATCTTTCTCCATATGGAAGTGTTGCGGGCACATAGAGATGTGGGTAGAGTCAGCCTCAAAAAGCAAAGGCCGTGCTGTAGGTCACGTGACCTGCACCGAGTTGGTGGCTTACTGGGCTTTTTCCTAGATCAAAGCGGATCAGCTCGCCTTCTTGTTATCCAAAAGTCGGTCGAATCGGGCGGGCCCCCGCCCCGGAACGTCGAATGAAATAGGTAGNCGACCCTATCTATGTTTCTACGATGGCCCAAGAACACGCTCATTCTTCAGCTGTAGAGAGACTTTTGAATTGCGAGGTACCATTACGAGCTCAATATATACGAGTGTTATTCCGTGAAATAACTCGAATTTCAAATCATTCACTTGCTTTAACTACTCATGCTATGGATGTGGGAGCATCAACTCCGTTCCTGTGGGCTTTTGAGGAGCGGGAGAAATTATTGGAATTCTATGAAAGAGTCTCGGGAGCCAGGATGCATGCCAGTTTCATACGACCTGGTGGAGTGGCACAAGATCTGCCTCTTGGCTTATGTCGAGATATTGATTCCTTCACACAACAATTTGCTTCTCGTATCGACGAATTAGAAGAGATGTCAACCGGCAACCGTATCTGGAAACAACGATTAGTGGATATTGGTACTGTCACTGCACAGCAAGCAAAGGATTGGGGATTCAGTGGTGTAATGTTAAGAGGTCGTGCGACATGAAGACATTGATAGCAATATGGGGGAAGTTCCCATCAGGCAACAACGGTTCTGCCTGACCCTACTTAAGCATGCATATTATGTCAGTGAAGACTTGGTGTGAAGCCTTGGAGCTTACGTTAGAAGAGCAAAAGGCCCGGGGCTAGGGTAAGCTGAGGGGGGACAGCGTAAGTGAGCGAATGTGTGTAAGCCCAGTCAAAGATGACTGTTCTAGGCGGGGCGGGCCACCTACCTTCGAATGGTCTTGGTCCTACGGACCGTGAACGGATTCGCCTCTGGCCTCTGGGTACGTCGGAACCGCATAAGTTCACCGGGGTGGAGCACGGTCCGCCAAAATCGGCATAGGTTAGGTGCTATTGATGGAACATGGTAAGCCTATCTTTCTCCATATGGAAGTGCTGCGGGCACATAGAGATGTGGGTAGAGTCAGCCTCAAAAAGCAAAGGCCGAGCTGTAGGTCACGTGACCTGCACCGAGTTGGTGGCTTACTGGGCTTTTTCCTAGATCAAAGCGGATCAGCTCGCCTTCTTGTTATCCAAAAGTCGGTCGAATCGGGCGGGCCCCCGCCCCGGAACGTCGAATGAAATAGGTAGCCGGGTTCTCTTTCGACAACCCTTTTGATATGATAGGCCCGGTCACCTTCCCCCTATCCCTTATGTTTAGGAGCGGGATCCGAAAAAGAACGAACAGTCCCGTGGTGGTACGTAAGGCACGGACTCCGCGAACGTCCCGCGCCCCCTTTACTAATAAAGGAAAGAAAGCCTCAACCAGAACCACATTCCTTTTGCGTGCGGATGTAGCTAAGTGTCTGACTATATTGGTCATAGTTCCCTGCTGTTGCGGCCGGTGCTCGTTTGCGCGCGCGTGAACCAACCCAACAAACAAGGAAAGGATGCCTCTCGGGGCATCTGAGAATGATTCGAGCTGTATGAAGGGAAACTCTCACGTACAGTTTCTTTTTTTTGGGGGGGGAAGGAGCCCGACAGGGTCCCCCCACTGACTTTTTCCGGGCCTAAGTGAAAGTGAAGTGGTGGGCCTACCCATCCCAACCAGGGGTATGCTTGGATTTACGAAGAGCAGCACCTTACGATGTTCATGACCAATTGGATCCTGACGTACCTGTAGGTACCAGAGGAGATTGCTATGATCGTTACTATATCCGTATCGAAGAGATGCGACAAAGTGTTCGGATCATTGTGCAATGTCCTAATCAAATGCCTAGTGGCATGATCAAAGCCGATGATCGTAAGCTATGTCCTCCATCACGATCTCGAATGAAACTATCCATGGAATCGTGTGTCGTGTGAAACGTAGATCATCGCCGTTCTTAACCAAGACTCAGGTTAAGCTCCGTCTCGGAACCTTGTGGGGTTAGGAGTAAAGCATCCCGAGGTTGACGCATCTCGTTGGGCGTGGAGAAACATTGGGAACCAAAACAGCTTTCTTCGGAGCCGTTTCTTGTCCCGTGCCCCCGCCCCGGCATAGCGCTTTGCTTTCGGGGATTCGGAAGAATACACTTCTCCCTTCTTCATTGATCTGGGGGAAAAGAAACCGTCTACCTGTTGGGAAGCTAGACATTAAGTAAGTGGCTTGATGAGGATAACTAAGCTGACACGCCGGAGTTGGCTGCTGGCACAACTGGGTGGTGCCTTACCGCACCGAAGGTGAACGCGCGGTAGCTTTCGTGGTGGTGCTTCAGGATTCCAATGTACTGCATCCAAGATCAGAACGAGCTTGTCGGCGGACCATTGCCGTCCCATTCTTGAGTGAGCTGGAGCGCAGCCATCTTATCCACTGAACTAGCTAGAAGCTATTGCTTCGGGTCGAAGAACTAAAAGAAAAGGACCAGGAAACGCAGCGGTATAGGAACCACGGGACCCACCACTAGTCTAGTAAAGGGAAAACAGAAGTGCGCTCCTGCACACCAGCTGAAAAAGCCCTTTACCCTTTGAATAATAAATAAGGTCAGCTTCATAGTTCCAACCTAGATAAGGCTTTTTTATGCCTTTTTTTTAGGTTGGGTTGCTGGATACGGGATCCTCTAGTAGGCTGGACCAACATCCAGCCGAGAGAGGGCAGCCTTTAGAAGCAAGAGGTTGGGAAACCAAGAGAACGCTTCGCCTTTTCTTATCTTTTTACCGCTGACGGAGTAGGAGTAGCACAAAAAGAGGGAGTTTGATTATTGACCCAATGAGAAAGCACTAACATCTTCCTCGTTGGGGCTTCGTGCACTGGGAAAAGGTAAGGCCACGGGAAATCGCCCACTAGTAACAAAGCTCACATAAGGTATCGAGAGGGCTATCACAGTCAGGTGCGAATTACCCCCTATTTGTAAAGTACCCCTCTTCCTATTTAGGGGGTTGAGGCGAGAAATGGCTTGATGAACCGTTCCGTTCGCCACGCACCTCCCCCATTCACTTGCTTATCGTAGAAGCTTTCAGTATACAGTGCCCCACAACTATGAAGAGTATAGTGGGGTTGAAACACGAGAGTGCCCGCCCTTTCTTTCACGCTGGCCTAAGTCAGTCTTTTAGTAAGCGTAACCGTGTATATATATCTATATCTATATATATCTTCGATGCTGTCATTTCGAAATGTCCGCTTCAACCGCAGTTTCAACTACCAAAAAGCTAAGTTGGCTTGACGAGCCCAGATGTGATGAGGAAGCAGGAGCAATGAAACAACAAATCTCTCGCTTAAGGTTTTCATCGTAAGGGGCAAAAAGAAGAGCTTTTTCTACTGAGAAAGCGAACGGTCAGCGCGAAGGTTCAAGACTTAGCCGAGCATTAGCGAAGCGCTGTAGTAGTGTTGAAGCCCTATGTGCTATAATGCTGAGCCAAGGACGGACGCTCCGCTTTATCTATAGAAGCAGTCAACTGAGTTCTGAACGAATTAGCTGCTCCTTGGTAATGCCTCAATCTATAGATAGAAAGCCCTATGATGGGAAACTACCACGTTAGGTTTGGAGAGAGATGGGACCGGTATATTCTCATAGGGGGAGCAGATGCAAGCTTTTTCTTTCAATAGCCGGTCAAATGACTACAGGATCATCATCGGTCTACTCTACCTCATTTCACCATTTCGAACTTTATACAGAAGGTTTTTCCGTACCAGCTTCTTCTACCTATACCGTAGTGGAAGCACCTAAAAGTGAATTTGGTGTCTTTCTGGTCAGTAATGGAAGCAATCGTCCCTACCGTTGTAAAATAAGAGCACCTGGCTCTGCCCATTCACAAGGACTCGATTCTATGGACAAACATCACATGCCAGCAGATGTAGTCACCATCATTGGTACTCAAGATATTGTGTCTGGAGAGGTAGATAGATAGGACTACTAGTTGCTCGATCAGGGCCCTAGCTTTATTGCGAGCCAAACACCTCAGCAGATCCTATAAAGAAAGAGAAAGCCTCTCGGAGAAAGTTTTTGTCTTAAAGTCGAGAGAGAGAGAAGTCTCTAAAGCCGCTATAGTCTGGGCTCTCACTCACGTCGTCCGTCCTGGAGACTCTATTACGCTG